TTGATGTTTTTTTGGATAAATGCTTAGTTAAACTGAAATTAGGCCCTTGGATAAGGAAATGGGTCCAAATGCTTCATTCCGATGCAACTACTCGAGTCCAAGTCAACGGAGTACTTTCCCTTGAGATTCGTCTTCAAAGATCGTTGAAGCAAGGAGACTCATTAACACCCTTTCCTTTCGTAATTATTATGGAAGCATCGAGGGTTAATCTTAGGGAAACTCAATCTTAAGAGACTGAGGATCGTCGGTATTTCAGAGGAAGTTATTCCCGTATATTTTATGTTCGCAGATGATTTAACTATAATGATTGAAGCTTTCCCGACTAATTTTGAGGAAATAAAAGCAATCATAGACAATGTTTTTCAGTTATCGGATATGTTAGTGAATTGGGGAAACAAAACGCTGGGGGTGGTGGATTCATTCTCAAGGGGATAGACCTCTGGAGTACCCAAGGATCAAATTGATGCCACAGGAGGCCCCAATTAGGGTGCTAGGTGTAGTCCTTACGGCACAAGGAAAATCAAACTGAAATAACCTATGAATTTTTCGTGTGCACTATAGAAAATGAAACAATGGAAAAATCAACATATATCTTTGTTTGGCGTGGTCTTGGTAATTAACAACGTATTTTTTGCTTCAATTCGGTATAAATCGGTATTGTGGTCATTAAATAAAGTATTTATTTTAGGATTACAAAGACAACTCATTGCTTTTCTTTGGCGTGGTGATCATGAGACACCTCAAGTGATACCAAGAGTGGCTTCGAGGATTTAATCCAACCCAAAGTCAAAGAGGACCTTGAATCCTTGACCCAAGAATTCAGTGTCAGGCTTTGGCTCTTCAAGTGTTAAAACGCCTGATATTGACTACAGATCTTCCTTGGCAAAGTTTGACTCTTCAGCAAATTCGCAGACTGACTCCCCAAACTACAAGAGATTCGAAGAGAGGAACACCCTCTTACTTGGGTGGAAGATTGGTATTCGACTATTCCCCAATGCCATGACATTGCTTATTTGTAGAACCAGGGGTGAGAGGTACAACTTAGAGAGATTTAATGTTGGATAATTTTTAGTAAACACTATTGAAATTCTGGCGAGAGTTGTCATTACCCAATAGGTCTCTGCCTTCAAGATACGAGGAAGTGCTACGTCAACCCATTCTTTGTAACAGATGGATTTCTGACTCAAATAGTAAAGTGTTTATAACCTCTGCCTCTCCATGGTCTATATGGGTAAAACATTTAGTAGTCAGAGTTAGAGATTTGTGGGATCCGGCGAGAAAGAGTTGGAAAATTGTGGATGACCTAAGGAGAGATATTAAATATACTCACAATTTATCCAACAATCTTGGTGAAATTATATTTGCTATCCCCCTGACGTGGATAGTTATACTAAAAAGAAAACATTTTCCTTCATTTCGGATTGGATATATGGGAACCAACCAGATCGCACTAAGATAGTAGGTCAAATTTTGGATGCTCATATAGATGGGGCTTTAGTGAATACTTCCATGATACACAAAGACAACAGGATTTCAAGTAATAATACAAATATAGTAGAATTTTTTTCCTTTGATGCACTATATAGAGTCACGACATTATACTGCTCATCCACCAACGGTTGGACAATTTTCCTTTCACACTATCCTATTCCAGAACTTCCTTTGGATCCAGGTGATTGGATATGGCGTATTGATAGGAGATGTAAACCCCATAGATTACAAGCACTTACAGTTAAGGCGTCATGTAAACTATTGTGGCCCAAAATAAATGTCCAAGGTATTGTGCAAGATCGCTGGGTGCGACATCTCAACCTGCGTAGCACGGCAAACGTGTCGCGGACACGTTCGCGATAACGTGTTTTTGGAGGCCACGAACTTCATTCGCAGGGGCCCGTACCAGTCGCCGGTGGTGGTCCTGACGGTAATTATGGGGCCTTGGGGTGTGTTAGTGTGTGCGTGGGTGCGTCAGTGTGTGTGTGTGTGTGTGTGTGTGTGTGGGTGCATCAGTGTGTGTGTGTGTGTCGGTGTGTGTTTGATGAGATGAGTCCACCACACCCAGAGGCGCGACGAGCCGCGTTTTCATTAAAAAAACAGCACAATCCCAAAAAGATGCGGAAGTCATGGACATTACTAGTTTCGAATGAACAAATCCACCATCCCAAGTGACTTTTCTATATGACTCAGTACATCCATTTTCATAGTTTTCCTCAGACTACGTAGAAATCATTCACAGATTGAACCCGATCACAAACACGCGATGGATAGTGGGATGGTAGTGGGAGAAGAGAAGGCAAGGGTGGGAGGAGGGTAAAAAAAAGAAAGATCGGGGGGAGAGGAAAGAGGAAGGGGATTCAGGGGGCTTAAAGTTTCGACACATTAGGAGGGGGGGTATCTCACACGAATCAATTTTCAAAAAATAAAAAAATGGATGTACATTACTAACAAGAATTATGTTCCAAAACAACGAAGGTATGGAAAATGGTGAGCCAAGCAGCAAAAGAATTCAGATGATGACTCCGTATAGGTACTCGTCATACAAAGAGCACAATATAACAAACCCCTGCTATAGTAGCTATACTAAGATTCTGAACAGAAAGCCTTCCGCTGAAGGATCGGGAGTGATCCGCTATGGAAGGGGGGGGGAATTCATTTAGAATAGAATAACCCTTGAAGATCCTCAAATGCTAAAGAGGCAATTGCATTGCAGTCAGCCATTAGAAACAACCACATTGTTGAATCAATACTAAGATCGGCCAGAAGTGACACACTAAGTTTCAACTCAAAGCAACCAGTGAGACCTCCTCCTCGAAAGCAGGGACTAAGTTAACACAACTTGACTATCAAGAATTACATCTGAGAACCATACTAAAGTGATTGCGTTGTAGCCAGCCATTAGAAACAACCATATCGTTGAATCAATACAAAGATCGCTCTGAAGCGACACACAGAGTCCTACGCTTCAACTCAAAGCATCCTGTGAGACCTCCACCTCGAATGCAGGGATTAAGACAACACAACTAGGCTATCAAGAATTACATCCAAGAATCATACTAAAGCGATTGCGTTGTAACCAGTCATTAGAAACAACCACATCATTGAATCAATACAAAGATCGTTCTGAAGCGGCACTCAGAGTCCTATGCTTTAACTCAAAGCATCCTGTGAGGCCTCCTCCTCGAAAGCAGGGGCTAAATCAACACAACTAGGCCACAAAGAATCACACCCAAGAGCCATACAGTGTACCAAAGTCATGCACGAAGAATCCTAAGTCTTGATGCACTGCTAAGAGTTTGTTTGTCCGACGAGGAATCAAAAAAAGTTTTCTACCGAAAAGATTCTAGGGGGGGTAGCACTCTGTCTCCGTGAAGAGAGAAAAGTAGAAACCCAGCGTGATAGAGACGAATAAGACAAAAACAAAGAATATGGCGATGATCGCCACAATCGCAGAAAGCTGTAGAGAGGGGGAAGGATATATATGCATAGTGTTGAGAGAGAAGTCGTTGGGGAGATATTGTTGCGGAGATACTCCTTCTGTCCTTTGAAGAGGAAAGGAATATGAAGAGGATAATGATCCTAAAAAAAATAGCTACAAGCCTTAAGGAAAATACGAGGAATCGAGGACGAGAGAGCCTCATTGCTAAAGTGAGATATGACACTTATGGAGAAGTTTGGGGGATCATCAGGAGGCCTCACTACCTCATCAACAACTTGATCCCGATACATAAAACAGTGGCTTACTCTCCTTAAATACTCCGTCCCTATGCGCTTTTCCTAACCTTTTCCCCGTCCTCTCTACCTCGCTCGTACTCCCTCTCTCCCATACCCTCATTCCTGCAGATAGTATACACCCTCTTCTTTCTTCGGCCCCAGCATCCGTTTTTTTACCAATCCTACCACCCGCCATTACTTCGACCTTTACTCTCATTCACCCATCGATACTGCAGCGCCGATATCCTTCCACAATTTTCCGTATCCCGTACCCCCTCGTTACTGCCTTCTAACCTCGCGTCACCCTTTTTCTGAAAAACATCCCCACGCCCCCAGCCTCTTCCTTCCCCTATCCTCCTACCCATGTCCTTTCCCTTCTTGCGATCAGTCCCTTACCTCGATCCGGCTGATACTTCGATGTGCACGGATTGCTTCTCCTTCCCTTTCCGACACCTGCTCCTCGCAGTTTCCATACTTGGACGTGATCTCCCTCCCCCATTCTCGGATGCCTGTTACCAGGACCTCGCTTAGATCGCCTCGCCCTCCTCCTGCCAACCTTTCCCTCTTCTCCTCCCTCCCACCTCACTCTCATCATCTCCCACAAACCTCTCCACGCGGCGCTTCTGGAAGTACTAATACATTCCATATGCCATCCTTCATCCATCACTTTTTTCATCGGCCGGGATTCCCAGCGCTCTTTCACTGAACCAATTCGCCGCACACTTCGTCAGCGATCCGTTATACACCTTCTTTCCACAGTACACCTACTAGGCCTGGTATTAACCCATCTCACGCATTCTCGCGGCTAAACCACAATGGCAACGACAGAGTCTACAAACTCTTCGTGCTAGCTTGTGTTTCATTTTTAAGCTATTTCGAAAAACTCGACCATCCGGTGGACACGACAAATTAAAAGAAAAAACATAATAAGACACGATCCTTCGACATCCTCAAAAGAAAGAAGAAAAAAAAAAAAAAAAAAAAAAAAAAAAAAAAAAAAAAAAGGAAAACTAACACACGTAAACCGAAAAGCGCCCACACGAGAAAAAACGGTTAGTATACATGAGTGAGCGCCTACTCCTAACTTGGCATTAAACCATCCCTCACGCCTTCTCGTGGCTAACCCGCAAAGGCAAAAACAGAGTCTGAAAAACTCTCCGCGCTGGCCTGTGTTCTATTGCTAAGCTATTTCTAGAAATACGATCCTCCGGTGGACACGAAATTAAAAGCAAAAAAGGATACGATTCTTCAGTGACCACAAAAATAACTAAAACCTGCACGCCGAAAGGACCCACACAGGCACAACGATTAGTATACACGAGCGAACACCCGCTACTACGCCTCCTTCCCTCTCCTCTTTTTTTCTTCTCAGCTTCAATCAGAAATTCATCATTCCGGCGTACTCGTGAGAGAGATAAACTCTCCACGGACCGCCAGAAATCCTAGCAAACTTTGCTAGGGCCCTAAGAGAGACCTCCTGGGGGTACCCCCAGAGGCGAGTTTCAAGCATAAGAGCTACGATTGCCGCTTTCAATGCTTCGTCGGACGTGGACAGTCTACTCATTCTTACAAGATTGGCAAAAATCGCCGCTTTCTTGGTACTCTTTTTTGTATACGAGGCGAAGTCCTGGATCGACTGTACCTTCAACCCCCCACCATCGGACAAGGATTGCTGATTCCGAGTACGAGGGAAAATGTGAATCTGAACGAGATCAACCTCGACGATCATCCGGTTCCCAAGGAAGTCAAACGCATTGCCACCTTCGTCCTTCCGAATCAATTTAAGATTCTCGTCATAGCACGACTCAAACAGATCCAACACACCGATCACCCTCCGGAACGATCCCACCTGCGTACGGGAAAAAGCGGCCAACACTACCACGTCATCAATCATCCTCATTCCCTTCATCAACACCCCTTCCTGGTATATATTTTTTACGAACCTTGATTCAGCTCGAGCACAGACGAGGCATGGTACAGCAGGACTGGAGTTTCTTCCCATGGGAATGCCCATTCCTTGCTTTAGTATACTCCCCGTGCGTCTTACAAATGAGTTGCTCAACTCAAACTCCACTTCTCTCCGAATCACGTCAAAGGACAGGGTGGCAAACCCTTCCTCCTTCCTCACCTTCTTCATCATGGTACACAGCTTCCCCATAAAGTTGACACGGACCCCTTGGACGCCTCTGCTCCAAAAATGATTCACGATCTAATCCACTGCTTCTCTCACGCTCTCATGTGATAATCCAGATAACATATTTTTTATGTCGTAGCTCCGGGCAATCATAACGTTTGCGAACTGGCACAACTCACTCTGAATCTTTTTACTGCATATCCCCACGTCATCCATCGAAACCAAGTCCAAATGCTCATTCCTCGATACCCCGAGCAGCATATACCTGATGGCCCGTCCTACACGAGAGGCTGCAAGTCGGGACGGATCTCCTGTATTTGGAGAGATGGGCCTCCACCGCTGGAGGTCCTTGTCTTTGGGCATCAYATATGCCCGCCCTATCTTGCCGCCTGCTTGCCACCTCGCAATGCTCGCCAATCCTGATTGCTCATAATCCTTCTTCATCCTRACGAGAATCCTTACCTCGGTATCGTGCATCATCCGAAAACTGGGATTCCCTCGAAACGTCTGAACACGCCTGATGATATGCAATGGGGCAGATCAACAGGGTTGCACCCGGGTTCCGATCGATTGGCACGGCAACCAGATTGGCGTAATCAGACATCGCTCGCCTCACCTCTTTATCAGTAATCCCTCGCCTCACCTCATTATCAGTCATCCCTCCGATCACAACTTCCCCTCCCTGCTTGAAGCACCTCATCACCCGTCCCAGAACGTACAAATCGCCTTCTTGTTTCACCCATTCTCTCACTCCCTCGGAGATGCATCCTGCCAACTTCAGCGGAGACAAGTCTTCGCTCCTTGACACATTCCTGGAGTTCCATACAAACCTGGGCATACCCCTCACCTCGTCAAGTCTCACCTTCACATGTCCATTACTTCTGGGAAGTGGCATGTGGATACACGTGCACTACACTTTTTCCAAATCGGCATACCTCCATTGATTATGGATCAGCATAGCCACCGACGACTTCTTAGTTGTCACCACCCTCACCCCTCTCGCCACAAAGCTTGCAAGTTGCGTCTCCATGCCARCCATCTTAATGACATCAYGGGCTAACATCCTCACCTCCCCYATCTTCACATTCGGAGAGAATGRCACCTTAACGCATGGTCTCCTCCGTATTTCTACCCCATACTTCCTCTTCAAGACCCGACTCAACACATTCTTGATCTTGTTACGTGTCTTCTTTTCCCCAAATAGTGCCCCTRTTYGGAACAATGCCACCAACTCCCTAGCTGTTTTTCTATACAATCCCTTTATCCTCCATGGTTAACGAAGCACATCCCGCAGTACGAACATCCTATGCTTAACTCCCGCTGGCATGATCGATACCTTCCCCACCTCATACGTGGCCCCCTCCTCTAACGTCTTCTTACACTCCCGAATCTGAACTTCTCWCCCTTCTATCCACAGGGTRGTTTCCCCTATCTTACTCCTTACCACCTTCCATCGATCCAACCAAGTGTCCCCGCCTGAGGAAGTAATCCGATGGTTTCCTCCATCCYCCTTAAAACCTTTCACCACATCAATAATGGATGTCCTCCCGTTGAACCTCRAAATGATTCCACCSAACCTATTACTTTTTCTCCTCCCCCTCTCCCTCYTCCCTTTCCTTCTCCTRATCCGTTTCACTTCCGGTYCTCTGCMMWGAATATTCAATGCRGGCGAGAACCTCCTAATSAAGGACGTTTCTACATTAAACAAATCASTKACACCAACCACCASAGGGATAAYGAGATACCTTTTCSACCCGAAATACSGCAGCCAGGAATGCAGCTTGGGCGCACCCCCTTCCTCACCTCCTATCACCTTACTSACATGATCGGCCCATCGAACAATAATGRCCTTCGTGGTGCARCCGATATAAAAGTGGCRGCACCATGGGCTAGCTACAACATATACCYCGGGATTCGCCGTCGACAATTCTTTGTCCGAGCCACTCACCATCCCCATCCACTTCCTCGCCCATGGGCAGAGTCCCCTGATCACCAACAATAGAAACTTACGAAAAATCCGGTCCTCGTATTCAGCACTCCTCCTCCCCGTACCCACACCAAAAGCCCTCTGACGACATTCCATCATTTCCTGTAAATCTTCCATTTTTGCAGACTAACTTTCAAACAATTGAGCGACATCACTTTTCTCAGAGAACTCACCGTACGCAAGCTTAGYCTTACATTTCACCGATTCGCCGATAGCAGTATCTCCTTTCGACCACTCAATCCCCTCACGGTTACATAGCTTGCGCAGTTCAGGCACCTTTTTCTCTGATAGGTGCCGATGAAGTTCCATCGCGAAGTCCAATATCCCATTCCCTTCATCGTCCTWTCCGTCCCGAGGAGGAGTACGAACCTCCTCGTCTTCCTCAATCTTCACCGGAACCTCTCTAATAGGCTTCCTCCCTATCCGAATCTTAGAAAACCTTCCATCTTCCTCAGCCCCCCTCCTCTTCCCCTTCCTCTTTTCGATCGCGAACACCAATCTCCCTGCCTCCTCCCTAACTTCCTCGCTATCATCCTTAGATTCTTCCAAATAACTTGTTATCTCTCGCAACACTCTTGCCTTGGTCCTCGGGGATTTTTTTGTCCCCGATGCACTCCCATGTACGTTCGCCTTATTGTGCTGCGCAAGAAGCTTTACCAACCTGGCTTGCAGTTTTGCCTCTCTCGCCTCGGCCTCCCTCAACCTCTGCTGCTCCCTCCGATTATCCTCCTCCCTCCTTCTCCTTTCCTCCTCCTCCTTCTCCCTTTTTTCCTCGTCCAGTTTCTTTTTCTTAATTTTCTCCCGTAGATACTCTCTGAATTCCTTCGCCTCCTCAACCACGATTCCAACCGGCACTTGTGCTTGCGTCGGATGTCGTCGTCCATTACCATTCGCCCAACAGTTACGCGCTTAGTGTTCCATTTTTCTGCATAGATAGCATGACCCCCCTCCTTGCTGATTCACCCCCATCATCAGGAACCCAATCCCCATCCCCTGAATCACCGGAATCCCAGGATTCTGCATCACTCATGGTAACTCCTATGCCTTTGAACCTGTCGCCTGCTCCTCCTTCTCCTATCTCTCACCACACACCCAATACTATATACTCTACCTAAGAGTCTTTCCAATACACACGTCAACTCCTCCCTGGTATCCTCACTAGGGAGTTCAATAGCCACATAGATTAGAGGAACAACTTTATCATAAAGTAAATTTTTCACGTCCTACCACAGTCTGTCGAATTCCTCTTTTGTAAAACCCCTACCATTCATCCCTTCACTGCTCAATAAAACTAATTGAAAAGCGCACGTCAAAATACCACCCTTTATACGAAGTCTCCCCCCAGAGAGTAAGCACCGAATACAAACCTCCGACTCCTATGATCAGCGCGATCGATCTCCGTGAAATCAGATAGGTGATGCTCCGTGCCCGAACCTTTACCATAGCTGCCCGGCTCCCACGGGCATATGACGAGAGGAGACGATCACGCGCCTCATGCAATTAGCTTGAATCGCAGCCTCAAGTCCTCAGTCGATCACGCCAAGAACTAGGAACACCACCGTAGCCACCGCGTCCTGTCGCCCACCACTGGTTACCACGTTTAGAGACAGAGAGAAGCAACACATCATATCACAATAACGTAAAAATCACCACGCAGGAGTCTCGGAATCGAAGTTCATTCATTACATAAACCATCTCAAAAAACGTATGCTCTCGCCCTTACGCGTTTCGTCACTTAGCATACCCAGTGACTCATCAGGAGGCTTCACTACCTCATCAACAACTTGATCCCGATACATAAAACAGTGGCTTACTCTCCTTAAATACTCCGTCCCCATGCGCTTTTCCTAACCTTCTCCCCGTCCTCTCTACCTCGCTCGTACTCTCTCTATCCCATACCCTCATTCCTGCAGATAGTATACACCCTCTTCTTTCTTCGGCCCCAGCATCCGTTTTTT